ACACACACACACACACACACACACACACACACACACACACACACACACACACACACACAACACTGATCATTTCTGCTTTATCTCTAATTAAAAGTGTGCATCTGTGCCATTTTGGAAGCGAGTGCTCACCGCTGTGAGGTCGTTGGCGGAGGCTCCGTGCTGAAGCAGCAGGTTGATGATGTGGGTGTGGCCCTGCTGAGCTGCTTGGTGTAGAGGAGTGTACCCATTCTGAACAGACAAACACACAAACACACTCAGTCCCAGAAAAAAGAACGCAACTCAAAGAGATATTTATAGAAAACCGAGCACGTCTATGTGTCCACCTTGGTTCTGGCGTTGACTTTGGCATGGTTTTGCAGCAGAAAGTTCGCCATCTTTCCATTGCCGTAGTGACAAGCCACGTGCAGCGGTGTGTAACCCATCTGCAAAAAGCCCGAGAAGATGAGGCACAGACGTGAAAAGGCAAAAAAGATAAATAGAAAAGGGGGATTTTTTTCCCCCTCCTGCTCTCTAGTGGCCTCATTTTGTTACATAACAGCTTCTCACAGAACACGCAGATTATTGTTCATATACATTCTAGCGAGGATCTAAAAACTACTTTCCAGGTTAACAAACTGTTCTCAAGAAAAGCAGCAGTTTGCCTCTCAGAAGGAAAACAAAAACCATAGAAACTGATACATATTTCATGTCCTTGTTTATTTATGTGAGAGCATAGACACAATCAGCACATGACTAATAAATATTGGCTGTAAACAACTGCCCTGTCAGCACAATACACGCCAGATAACCTTCAGCTGCTGCAGATCAGTTTCTAGTTCGAGAATTTGACTAAACCCGTGAGTTGGCTGCAGAACAGCACATTAAAGGCATTAAAGCCATAAAAAATGAATGTACAAATTCATGTACATGTACAAATGTACAAATTTCCAGTTCACATACAGGAAACAAAAAGACAAATAGAAGGAACAGATGCATTTAAATACATTAAGCTGCAATACAAGACCCAGATTATTTACATTTAAATTATACTATTGTTTATTGTGCATAAAATCTGAGAAGTCTTCACCTTTGTTTGTGGGTTGACGTTGGCCCCCTGGTTGAGAAGGACTTCTGCAACATTGACCTTGTCTTCCTGAGCTGCTAGGTGCAGAGGCGTGAGTCCGCTCTGCACAAGAACATCAAAACATAACAAAAGAGGGGGACACTCAAACAAATAAGTTAGCAAACAACAGTCTAATATACCATTACTACCAAAAAAAGGTTTTAATTGTTTATTAAAACAATGTTTTCTTAGTGAAAATGAGAACGCTGATATTCTAGAAAAGAAGGAACATGTTCATTAGGTAAAAAGGAAAGTGCACCTTGTAAAAAAAATAAAAAAACAACAACAGTGACATGCATCACCTTATTGCACACATTGACGTCAGCGTTCTTGGCCAGCAGCAGGGACACGAGGTCCACGCTGCCTTCCTGCGCCGCCAGGTGAATGGGACTGATGCCCTGCCGTGTCACTGCGTTGGTGTCGGCGCCGTACTCCAGCAGAGTGGTCCCGATGTCCATTTGGTTCTTTTTGGCAGCAATGTGGAGAGGCGTGTAGCCATTCTGACAACAAGAAATGGAAAATCAGAGAAGTTGAATGGAGTTCTGTGGATGTAAGGGCTGGTGGTTAGTTGTCATTTTTAAGGCCCTGTCACGCTATAACATTTTAGACAACTTATTATGAAAGTTTGTCCAACAAGATGGAATTGAAAAAAAAAATCCTGGAAGCCTCTTTTGGACCTATACTGTAATGCTAACAATTATATTGAACACGTAACGAATAAAAGTAAGCATGAGTTGTCTAAAACGTTACAGCGTGACAGGGCCTTTAGGTTTGTGCTCAGTGTAACAAAAACAGATATATGGTTTTTGGGAGATTTTCCTCTATAATGTTTTGATCCCATTCTGATTTTAAATGGAATTCTTTTTAAACATTATAGACCCAAGTAGAAAAGACTGACTTTTTAAAAACATCAACAAATTGAAATGATAGATGCAAAGAACAAAACAGTTATCTCAGCTCAGTCCTTGTTAGCTGGTAGGATTTATTGTCATGAATTCATTTCAATCATGGCAATAAATTTACAACATWTAAGAAAAATTGGCGCAGAGGGTAGAGAAGCTGAGTCTGTGATCGGAAGGTCGCCGGTTCGACTCCCCGCAGACCAACCAGCCCCACTTTGGGCCCTTGAGCAAGGCCCTTAACCCCCCAGCTGCTCCCCGGGCGCTGTAATTGGCAGCCCACTGCTCCACATGTGTGCTCACATGTGCGTTGGGTAAAATGCAGAGACTTAATTTCCCCACCAGGGGATCAATATAGTGTATAAAAAAAGGGGGACTTCAGTTATTATTTGGCAAAATAAACCTCAGCTTTATYTTACAAGAATCCCTTATCCTCAAAGAGCTTTCAGCCCCTCAGACAGGTTTGTCTGAACACATACAGTAAACACAAGCAAAATCCATGAATAGACCTGAGAAAGAACAGCCAGACAAGTTTTATGGACTTTGGCTAGAATGCCAAAAGTCTGTAGACCAGCATTTGAGACAGCCGAAAATTTATTTCTTTGTTGCACAGGAGGGATTTTTTTTTTTGCAAATTTCCCTGCAGCCTTCACAAAGTGGAGGGGAGATTTCAGCTTGAATGAGAGAGTAAAACACAGAAGGAAGGCATCACATTCTGTATAATTAYATAAAGCCATTTTTGCTGTAAAAATACTTTGAAACTGCCATCTTTTTATGAATCAAATCCAATTGAAGCAATTTGAAAGGTTGAAGAATGACCATTTTTTAAAATTTATTTTTATTTTTTGATGTTCAAGTTTATTCTGTGATAATCTACAGCCTGTATTAATGTCCCTGGACGACACTTAACAGTACACGCACTGACTGACTCATTTCCGAAAGCAGACTAACTTTAGAACCAAAACAAAGTGATTTATAAGAGATGCAGGAARGAATGAGTAAGAGAGTGGGAGGGAGGCAGGGTAAAGAGCAGGAACTATTAGAGACAGATACAGACAAAGAAGGAGAACGTTAAGATAAGGGAAGACAAGGAGAAAAGATAAATGGATTTCTTAAGKATTAGTCTCTGCTTGTAKGAAGTCTCTTAATCTAACAAGAATWWAAAAAAATACTGATCGTTTTATGCRTTATAGTTTTGACAGACCACCAAACTAGAGGACAAATCACATCTGAAAGTACACAATGATAAGAAAATGTTCAGTTTTACATCAGAAAAAGCTGAATTTGCAGTGCTGACAGACTTTAGAGTAATTCTCCAACTGTGAAGGATCAACTTCTTCATATTTTGAGTTTTAAGCCTCCAAACGAACACAGTTGGGGAGAAAAACAAGAATACCCACAATGAAATGGGAGGAAATGAATGTCTGCACATACACACACACATAGTGTAAATGACCTGAGATGATATGAAAAAGCTTAGTGAAGTCATTTGAACATGGATGTTCCTGATGGTGTGTGGATACCTTGGCGGCAGCGTGCGGGGAAGCTCCCTGATCCAGCAGCAGCAGCGCCACTCTCTGATTATCGTAGTGAGCGGCTACATGCAGTGGAGTTAGCCCACTCTAAAAAGACACACGCGTACGCACGCACACAAATGCACAAACACATCCACGCAAACAGGGCATGCAGCACAGTCAGTTAGAGATCGCCCAACACACTAAAACATGCTGAGAGGTACGATGGAAGAATGTTAAGAGATGGAGGGAGATGGGGATAAAAGTGATGAGAGATTGACCCACACACAGTCCAGAGCAGCAACTTTAGGCAAAAACTGCTAAAAAATAATAAAAGAGGGTAAGATAACATTACACAGTACTTTCTATCATCTTTTTCATTTAAATACATTTTACAACAATCCAGCAAATCTGGTAAAAAAAAAAAAAGGAAACTCTTCACTAAACATCTAATTTGGTTTTAAAATTGAAAAAAAAAAAGAGTACAAAAACACAACATAACATA